CCAACTTGTGCTTATCTTAATATAGCTTTTATTTTGTTAGTTCTAGTTTAGGGAATTTCTCTCTTTTCTTTGCCCATCTTACTGCAGCGCACATACGTCTTCGAATCGCTTAATTGCCCATTTTGTCCACAGCCCTTGTTTTGGTAAAGACTTTTGATCTTCTTGCTCAATCTTTGGATTCAAATTCTACCATAAATATATATATAATTCATTAAAACTTTACATGTTACAGCTCCAGTATTCTTATAGATATTTTAAGTACCGTTCTCCATGAAATTAATTAATGCATTGGGGCAATGAGATTATCTAAAAATTAGTGCGCGCGCCATTAATTGTAAATACAATTTGTTCGAGATTTTTTGTCATGACAAGGTTTTATAAGATTAATTTACTTAGTAATTAAAATCAAGTCATTTTTATGATGTTGAATACTTTCCATGTTAACTTGATGCAGTGAGAAGAATTTAATAAATTTTCTCAAATACCAACCTCAAGATTTGAACTCGGAAAATTATTAGGACAGAGAACAAATGTTTGAGATAACTATATATCTACATTTAAACATTACGTAAAAAAAATCCCTTAATCCCTCCTTGTCAACTGCGTTTGACTTCTAGGAATTAAGCTTCAATGCAGGCCTTCCTTTACTTTTTTTTACCACATAAGTTTCTACGTACGTACATCTTGCATACAATCCATACATTGAAAATCCCAGCATTCCAAGACATTCAACGCAACCATACGTCCATGTATATCGCACAGTCGTTTTATACAACGTACTTTCTGATCAGAATCAAGCCGATGTTATCCTTTTTCTGTGTCCATACGGTTGTCCTCGTGCAGAGTCCATTCTTTCCCTTCATTGCTTTCCTTACGAGTGTAAACGACATTAAATTCTTAACTCTCAGTCCTTTTGGACATCGTCAAGTAATTAATGCTAAACCAAGCATGCACGATTAGGGCAGATAATTCAAAGTTCTTATTTATATCTCTATCTCGTAATTAATTACTATACAACCACAAAACTTTGCAGAGATTATTTTTCATAAAATATTTCCTACTATATATGCTCATCACACCAAGAGGAATCAAAAGAAATACAAGAGAAGGTGGTTTTTTTTTTTTAATTTTTTTCCCTTCGTATTGTTTCCTTCCTTTTCTTTCTCCCTGGGATTGGCATGCATATCACACACACACAATATACAGAAGGTAGTTAAAGGGGGAACCGTATAAACTATACAAATCGGACCCGTCGTATAAAAATACATAGAGAAGCAGCGAGAAGTTGATGTTTATGGCAGCAATGCAAATCGGGAAGGACAGCTAAAACCATCATGATCTAATCTTTTAGTTTAAAGCATCAAGAGGTACAAGAGAAATGGCCTGTATATGGCACCGCATGAGCTTCTCATTTCTCAACCAGTGATATTTAATCAGGTCTTGATGAGACTTTTAATCATTTCTTAGGATACCGGTGGATTGATTGATTGCCAAGGACGGATGCCTGTCTTAATTTGGAGCTATTAATTTTCTTTTCTTATTTCCACTTAAGTAGCACTTATTATTAACATCATATTTTATATCCCCTTTGATTAGCGCTACGGGTGAACTCTGCTGAGAAATATTTATGCCTCTTTTCAAAATAAATATATAAGTTTAATTATGCCCTGTTTGGTAATGTTTCTTCAAAATACGATTGGGACCATAATGATGCCTTTCAAAGTAATTTCAGATAATCTTAATATAAAAACTCCAATTTTAATAGAAAATATTTTAAAAATATCAACATAATATATTTTTAATTAATTATTGAATACACACTAATGGTTAATTGAATAGATTCGACTTTGACACGTGTTGATGATGAGTCTAAAATTATATTATTTTGAGCTTAATTGCATTACTAGTGTTAATTCATGAAAGGGTAAATAAACGAGTCTGAATTCAGCCTAGATTCTTTTATCACCTGAACAAATATTTGAACGAAAGAGAAAAAAAATATTATAAAAAATCACAAGATGCACTGCATTCATTTAAGTCTTATAATTGTGTCCGACAAGTTATTGTGACATGAGAAAAAAACCACACTCCCACTGATTATGGTGCCAAACAAACTATTCCCCAAAACAATAAATGTACTCCTCTTGTCCCCGCCCCCAACACCCCCCTCCCCCTCCTAAATCCTATATGCTTCTTAGCATATTTTGGAGCGCGGTTTCCTAGATGAGTTGTCTCGCAAGTTTAATTCGAAGTCTCCCAAACCTTTTTTTGTGGTCTTTAGCTCACAAACTTCGTTAGGAAGTTTTTTAGATGAGTTGACTCCCGAGTTTAATTCAATGCTTAATCAAGTAAGCTTACGAGTTTTGAGTTAGATAAGTTGAATATAGTTCGAGTTTACGAGTTTGTTTATAAACTTTGAATGGTTAAAGAACAGCTTTGTTTCTTCTAGGACAAACAAAAGGTTTTTTAAAAAAACAATTTAGAAGTGTGTGTGTTGTTTTCCTTGCTATAACGTTAATAATACAAAACTAGACTTTGTGTATTTTTGGAAGAACATAAAAAGTTCTTAAGCAAATTATTAAGCATAATTATTTTCCACACAAAATTGGAGATGAGAAGTTACAAGAAGAGTGCTAGGGTTTTCGCTGGCGCCTTCGCCACAGTTTTATGACACCTGTCACGTTCTTAAATATTAAAACTTTTAACCGGTGAACGCAAGCAAATGGGCATTATTGTAACAGCAACAAAATGTATGGGTTTACGGATTCAACAGCGTTCAAGAATTTTAGTTGCCAGCAAACAATTATTGAATCAGGTTGAATTAATCGACGGTCCTCGGAAAGAAAAGAGCTGACAGTTTGTGGACCTAAAGGCAAGTATAAATTTATTTATAATATTCCGCGTGCTTAAAAATAATAAAAATAAAAATAAGTAGCATATACACACAGGAGTATTGTACAAGTACCTATACACTTGTAAGACAAATTATAAATTGAGAATTTATTCTGTATTTGATATTATGATATAAATTATTTTTTATATAAAATATATTAAAATAATTTTTTTATATATATTTTTATTCTTAACATCAATACAATAACGTCATCGAACACGTGTTGAAAAACATTGTAATCGATTTAACCGACCGGCATTGCAATGTCTCGTTCAGCCCACTATCTTTTAACTAGCGCGAAAATTTTTAGGCATGACCAAAAAAAAAAACATGTTATTACTGTCCCGTTAGTGAATAATTGAGGCACTATAAAATAAAATAAAAATACACAAAAAAGTCTGGTTTTCCCGTAGCCGGTTGCGCTTGAGCCTTTAGGTCGTGTTCAGCTGTCTGGGCTGCGTTCTAGGGACAGTTCAGTTCACATGGGCTGAGCCTAGGCGAGCTCGATCAGTTTTTTTTCTTTTTCTTTTTTTTTTTTGCTTGGTACATTAGATTCATCCCTGCTTGGAACAAGACACAAAAAACCTTGCCTGAAGGAATCATGAACAAGTTAATTGTAACCAATAGCCCTTCTAGGGAGGATAATAAACCACCGTGGAAAGCATACGCAGTGTAAGTAAACAGCCACAGGAAAGATTAACGGTAACTAGAGTAAGTTTTATTGACTCTTTTGACTTTTCAAAGGTTAGAATAACATCTTGTTTCTTTAATTCCATATTAGCTGTGCGAATATAAACTTTGATTTTATATAACCTAATTTATGAAATTCTAAAATAGTGTTTCTTGCATTCGTTAAATTCAACTCAGTACCATTCAAAGTAACCGGAATTAAAAAAATAAAAAATACTGTAATAGTAAAGTGATTTTTAAAAATAAAAAAATTTATACATAAATAGTCTATTTACATTAACATTTCAAATTTTCTTTTGAAAATATTATTTTTTTATTTTAAATTATTTTAATATATAGAAAAATGGAGGAAGAATCGGATTGGTGGTTTTACGGGCTTCTTTATCGGGTAATGTTGGATTTCCTTGTGAGAAGTAGATGGGCCTTGGTGTTGGATTCTGTTGACTGTTTATTGCTTAGAGCTTAATGAAGGAAGGAAGGAAGCAATGCACCTCCCTTGCTTCAAAACAAACAAAAAGAAAATTGCCGTAAATTTGGACTCCGTAGAAACTCTTAAAAAGACTCAATAAAGTAAACTTTATAATATATAAAAATCAGTTTTAGATAAAGACTAATAATTCTACTTAGCATAATCTTAATCACTAATTATAATAATAATAATTTGCGTAATGCAGGCTTTTCTTAATAGTTATGAATTAAGTGATTTTGTTCGGTAAAACAGGTTCAAGTTTTAGCGATCGTGATTTTATAGTTATGTAATAAAGGAGTTGTCACGTGTTGTAAAAGCAATGCTGATTTGGACATCTGTTAAATTAAAAAAGAAAAAATAATATTCAATCCAGTGTCCTTGCAAAAAAATAAATAAATAAATAAATCTACCCTATCATAGTTGCAATTATTATGCTGGACACTAATATGGCTAGAGCTTTAGATTGGATTTGACTTTAATGAATATTATATATTTTATCCATATTAAATTTTTTGTTGATCGTGTTCATCTTCATGGAAAAAAGTAATTTATATTTTTTTTTATTTTTTAATATGCTAGTATTAAAAATTAATTTTAAAAAATAAATAAAGGTATTATTAAAAGAATTTCAAAGTAAAAAAAATACCTAAGCAACAGCTCACACATTCACCAACCAAAAATGCATTAGACTCAATCCAATTTTAATCAATGGTATCTAATTAAACCATTAGCTAATAATTGGGTGTGTGGTGTGTTTGCAAGACAGAGAAGATCTAGGCCAATGGCCTTTACAAATTATAATCGGTTGTCAAAAACGAAATTAAGGGTAATTTTTTTTTTAAAAAAAGAAAAATGAAAAAAATAGAGAAGAAGGACGAGTGCCAACGATGATGGCACTGGCAGGCAAAAGTAAAACCAATATGGCACATTTATTGGCGAGGTGGAATATGCGGAAAGTAGAAATACAAAGGAGGAAGAAGATTCGTGGGATTCATGCGCATCTCTCCCTCTCATATTCTCTTCTCCTTCCTTTTTTCTTGTCCAAGTGCCCGCTTTTCCACTCACCTTCCCAATTCAACTCGTCCTCCCTGCTGTCCTCTCCTCCTCCTCATAAACACTCAACCCCTCCCGCCTCCCTCCTTAACTCAGCACGCACATCTTCTGGGGTATCTTTCTCTCCATACCACAATTATATATCTGTTTATTTATGTCCTTTTGTTTCTGCATGTGTTTATGTTTATGTTCTAATTAATCGAAACTCTAAAATGGTCGTGCTCGTTTGTGTCTGCTATGCTTAGTGTGATATTCTCAGGACCCACTGTCACTTTTCAACGTCGGGTTTTTCTTTCTTTTATAGAACTAGTTAAGAAAGGGCTTTGCTTTACTCTTGTCTTTTTTTTTTTTTTCCTTCAGGAAAAATAAGGTTTGTTAATTAAGTCCTGCATTAAACATTTCTTGATTAAGGAACAGATGCGAAACTAGAGGGGTTTTGCTAGAAGCAGCTTTAGAGTTTTCTTGAGTAAAATTTTGGAATTCCTGCGATTGAACAAGACATCATGAGTTTGGATTCGATCCATTCCAATAAGAATAGCATTGATAAGTTTGGATTTCATTAACATTTAGTTGAATGTCACACCAATCTTGATTCGGATATAATTTCTCACATACGCTTGCTAATTGGCTCCACAATCTTCTTTGCTGATTTTAGTGATTTTGTGGCCAAGAGTACTCGCTTTTTACCCCATTGTATTCACGTGTTCATGATAAGTTTTTTCTTGATTAGATTTTTTGAGTAGTTTTGCAGCTTCCTCCTTCTAGCCAAATGATCAAATTCTTATGAAGGTGGAGTTTATGCTAATTATGTTAGGTCGGAAAATATATTGTCTGAGATGACACGTCCGTGTAAAACAATGGCCCTATAAATGAATGTGTATAGAATATTGATGTGGTGAGGGTGGAAGGTATAGTAATGTAGGAAAAAATGATTTAGGTTAAATAGGGTAGTGAGTTTTAATTTCTTAGAATCTTTTGATAAATATGGCCTTGGATGGAGCAAAAGACTTGAAAAAAATCGACCCGTTTAGTTTGAGATTATTTCTTTGCTCCAAGACTTGAGTTATGTAATATGTTGCTCGAAATGGTAGGCTGGAAGTTATGCTCGAAATGGTAGGCTGGCAGTTATGACTATTCCTAGCCAATAAACTCCTTAAACATGATGAAAGGGGGACTTGGACTCCAAGATTTTAGTACTATCTACAGATTCTATTAGAAGCTAGGCCGCAATTGTGAAGGTTGTCCGAATACTATTCAAATACTTTTTCTTTGTTTACTACATATAGCGCAATGGTTAATTGATGTGCCCTCCCTGTTGTAGCTGCTCATGTAGAATACACAAGTTCTGAGCTTATTTTCCTGTTTTGTTTGGTTATATGATCAGTTCAATATTCTCTTTCCTTAACAGCCTTGATATCTCTGCTTCTAAGGACACTTGCAGACAAATAAAGGGTAGTTTAATTTCTGATAGACCCAAGTACGTGTGCTCTCTGTAATGAATTCATGTTCTGTTTTGATGCAGAAATTGAGAAGAATATTCAACTTATCCTTTTGATGCCAGCAATCTTGCTGGCAATCATACTTATGACATTATGAGTCACCAGAGTACATTCAATCCCAGTAAAACCCTAGAGGGTGTGCATGGCATCCATGTTGTCCCTCATTCTCCATTTGCTTTGAAAGAGATCAATCAACAGGGGGACTTCCCCCAATCAACCTGTGAAAGATCAGGCAATGGATTGAATCAGCTGCTGTTGATGCAGTAAGTGTAAAACAAGTTTCACTGCTAAATTACCAGTAGCACCAATGTAAAATCTGTTTAGCCCCACACATAAGATATATTCAGGTCTACAAAGTTATGAAACTGTTAAATTGGTGAGATCCCACCAACAATAACTTGTCTTTTATTTCTTCTCCAGGAGAGTATGGCAGCAAAGACCAGGATGTTTGAGGCCTATCCAGGGCTGTATTCATGGTATTACAATTATAAATATAAACCGTTTAATCTTGGTAATTCATTTATTACATTTAATATGCGCTCTAATGTATATACTTTCACTAGGTGATCAACATCTTGCAGAAACAGTTGCTAATGTGATTACTTCTCTTCCTTTTATTGCTCTCGGTATCCAGGCTCCAAGGTAGTAATATTTTTCTGGGAGATGCTTTATAAACATATACTTTTCTGATTCTTTTCTCTATTGTATATACAGGAAGAACTTGAATACTAAGTTGTATGCTAACTCATTAATTGGAGTTGGAGTTGCCTCAAGTTTGTATCATTCTTCAAGAGGAAAGCTGAGGAAGTATTTGAGATGGTTTGACTATACAATGATAGCCACAGCGACAGTAGTATGTTGTCCAAATTAACTCTTGCATTTTAGCAGAACTATACTATTGAGGTTATAGGCATGCTTAGATTTGAATATATATGCTGAGCTGGACTGTTATTTGTGGAATTAGATGCGATACTTCTCAGCTCTGACACTCACGTATCTGGTTTAGCACCTTTTTTTAAGTGTTAAATTCAAAAACAACAATGATGATGGCAATGATTAAGTGGCTGAAGTGTTCATGTGCATTATGTTTGATTCAGTTTTATGCTATATTAGGCAACTGGGCCACGTGGTGTAATCCCTGGCATCCTCATATATTGAGTGTTCTTTTTATCTTTTCTTCCCCTCCTTTTGTGTTCTGAATTCAGTCATATACTTGTCTTATGACCTGTTTGAATACCCCAAGTTACAAATCTACAAAACATCGATTTTCATTTCATGGAAGCCATCAGTCACCTCACCTCACATCCGCACCTCTTGTCTCCACAGATTTCCCTCATATCGCTGTGTACATCTTCTTATGAATAGTGCACTTCAAATCCTATTCTTTTTTTTGTTGCCTTTTAGCATTCAATTCTTCCATGTTTCAGATACACCTGTTCTATATGCCTGTTTTGACTTCTTAAATAATGTTGCACCCCTGTAAAATGTTATGTTTAGTTTCACACATGCACACCAATCTTGCAACGTTCTTATAACTACTCTTGTGCACCCATCAGGGTGTAATTCTGGTAGAAAAATTCTCTCCATTCTTCATCCTTAAGGGTGTCTAGATTGTAGATTATACTTCCTTTCTCTGTTATAGAAATTCCTCTGACATGGTGGAGTAGTATCTTCATTAGCCGGAAGGGAGTTCAGTGCTTCTCCTGTTTCCTTCCTGGTGGCCCTGTCTCTTGTTTGGCACTTTCTTCCTCTTGCAAAGGTCGCATTTGTTACCATCTTGGGTTTCACGAAGTAGAGGTCTTGAAAAATTAATCTCACTTGAACACAATAGACCAGATGTGGATAGCATGCCTAGTGTGTTGTCGAGTGCCCCCTAGACTTAGTCCCAAAGCACAAAAGCTCGTTTGAGGATACATTGACCACTAACCAAAAAAAAGAAGGAAACAAAGAAGACTCTTAAAATTTACTCTAGCAACACAATTGAACTCCAGTTTCTGACCTCAAAATTGAAGCAAACTTGCAAGGAAATCTCTTTGAATGCACGAGGACAAAGTAACTGCAAATAGAACTATTTTTGAAGCTCTGCTCTGCTGTTTGGTTTAGTTATTCCTTTGCTAATAAGTAATGCTTTCTTCTCACACTTTTGCTGTATTTGAGCTACACGGGCATGAATTTGATAACTGAATTATCTTTTGCAGTGTTTGTCAAGGGCCCTACGAAATGAGAACCCAAAGTTTTTGATGGCTGCATCTGCAGCATTATTGCCTGTCCAGCCTCTGATGGTCTCTGCTATTCATACAGGGATGATGGAGGTAAATTACCTCATTTCTTACCTCTTAAAAAGGTGATTAGAGTTCAGTTTGCCTTGGTCCACGAATCTTGTGACTAAAATGATGATGCCAATGACAGTTTCTATTGTTGAATAGCCAGGAACCGAAATAATTGCTGAAAATGGATTTATATATTAGACTGGCTTTATTTTTCCTTCATGCTTGCTCAGCTTGGTTATAACTATGATTTCAAGAAATTATTAATTACTGAACAGCATCTTGTAGTTTGAATACCAGCAACCTGCTGAGTGCATGGCACGTCTATATTTCTGAGGCCAAGGACGTGACCAATGAAAACTTGAAAATCAAAAGCCAGTGTGGATTTACACTGCTATATTCACCAAATAATAATATATTGATTTCCTTCATTGGTGCTAATTTGAACTCAATTGGGTTTGTCAATTTTTTGTGGTTATATTCGTGTTGCTAATGATTGGATTTCCCTTGAATTATTCTTTCCAGGTAGCATTTGCAAAAAGGGCATTAAAAGATCCAGATCTAAGGATGGCACATAATTTGCATAAGATGTCATCGTTGTTGGGGGGTGTTCTTTTCATTGCTGATGATTGCTTTCCCAGTACTCCTTTCCTTCATGCTGGCTGGCATCTTGCTGCAGCCATTGGTGTTGGCACCTGCAACAAGCTTCTTAAGTAGTGTATATATCTCAGATCACTTTCTTATGATTCATTTATCCTTTGGGCAGCAGCTTCTCCTCGAACACCAGGATGGGTATAAATTTCATGCCTTCCTTCAACCAGGTAAGGAGAGGAAGGGATAGATTTGCTCTTTTCAGTTAGCTTCTTGCAGCTCAACGGTCCAACTATTGTTGGGTTTTTGTAATTTCTTCCGGTCTGGTTTCATTTAGCCATTCCTAACATCTAAAAAGAAATGCAGTTGCCGTATTTATTCAGCTCAAGAGCTATTTATCTGATACTCTAATTAGAGACGTGTGGCGTTTTCATTTTCTGTTTATATATCACAATCAGCAGTATGAAAGAGAGAATTGCTTCATCTGCTTTAGATCAAATGTAGAACCCAGCTATCAATTTGCTATTATCTATCAGTTATATTTTTCACTCGATAGCAAGGAATGGCATGTAGATGATCGCACAATGACCAATAGTTGATCGCATGCCTGATCTCACCTTAGCTTGATCTGTACTTTTGATTTGATCGTGAATGTCAACGTGCATGCTCATCACATCCTAGCAATTAATTAATACGATTATGGTTCTAAAAAATGTCCCCATGTGGGACAAAACACACATTTGCCTCAAAGAATTTGCATCGTCCGGTCTATTATGACGACCCAGCTGAAGCTAAACAGATCGGAATAAGTGATAGAGAGTAACTGTTGGGGACATGCGTGAATATATCAGAGCATAATCTGCTTCGTTTTTCGATTTCTGTTCGATAAAGAAGAGTTTGTTTCTTCCATTTCTCAACAAATAGACCTGTCATAGGTCATGGGAGAGCTGCATGCAGTGTGCTGCTGCTGCATAAGGTTACACAGAATGTGTGGAGTAGCCCTGTATATAACTAAGTGCTGCCTGCTTTCTAGATTTGTGCAGTTAGCAATGAGTGGATAAGAACTGAAATCATGAATGGATTGCACAAGACACGATGAAGTTCTAGCAGTAACAATAACGATTGTATTGTATGGTGCTTGGAGGTTAGCTAGGCACTGTGGTTGATTCAAATGCCAAAAAAAGAGAGGAGACGCTATACACGTGATTCCTACTTTGTACAAGACTCTGATAGTAATAAAGTTGGCGAAATACAAGTCAGGAGATATAAATTATGATAAAGATTGCATGGTATATTATAATTATGGTTTTGAAATCATAAACGCTCGGCAACGTAGCCCTATAATGTCTACTGTGGTTATTAGAAATCAGTCTCATTCACGCCTGAATTGGCAGATGGAAATTGTTTCATCTCCGGTTGGATCCGGATCCGGATCAGATCATCCTCATCTCATTACCATGGACTGACTAATTGAATCCGTCATGCAAGTGAGGGTAGGCATAATCGTAACAAATTAATATGTATATAAAAAATGATGTCACTTAGCTAAGCCTTTTTGTATTTCCAATGCACTTTTATATTAGGCTAATTGATTAAAAAAAAAAAAACACCTCAATTTTTAGTCAAACCCAACTAAATCTTTGACCTTTTGTTTATGGTTTTTTAATATTGATTAATTGATCACGAAGGGAATTACAATTTTATCAGGTTTTTTTTTTTTGTCAAAACAATTGTTATGATCATACGTTAAAAGTATATTTATTTTTATATTTTAAAAATATTTTTTTAAAAAATAATTTTTATATTTTTTGTTTGAAATTAATATTTTTAATGTTTTTAGATTATTTTGACGAACTAATATTAAAAATTATTTTTTAAAAATAAAAAATATATTTTAAAATAAAAAATATTTTTTTAAAAAAATTATTACCATATCTCCATTTTACCCTCAATTACCTTAGTTGGGAAAGGAAAAAAAAAAAGAGTTAAAAATGGAGTTGCGCTTAACTAAAAGTTAGGATTTTTTTGATGAATTTTTTTTGCCTTAAATCCAGCCTTGTAATTAAGTGCGTGTTTCCTCTATTTAGACATTGAGGTCGAGACTTCATATTATATTTTAAAATGTAAAATTTGCCTCAGTCTCCTAAGCACGGCGTGAATAATCTCTATCTCTGTATTCCTACTGAGCACTGCAAACTAATAACTAATTAGAAACACATATTTTTAAATATCTTTTAACAAGCGTTCACTTGTTCATGGGACAGTCATTAATTACCCATGCTGAAAGAATGTTGACTTGATAGATTTTTTTTGCTGGGCTCGTCTCGTCTCCCAATGTCTCGCAGATTCACGTAACCCTTTGTTTTGTCCTCTCTCTCTCTCTCTCTCTCTCTCTCAGCGTGTGTTTTTCGTGAGGGCATGGTCAACACACAGTTCTCTTGCAACCAGAGAAAAGAAGAAAAGGAGCGCACTGCTCTTTTCCTCTGGGGTTAAACCAAAATGCCTTGATTTTAAGTTTCTCCATTCTTCATCTCCATTTACTGTCGCTAGTGCAGTCTATGAAGAGATAGATCATTCCTTAAATACACACAGCATCCAGGCCAAACGGAGAGAGAGAGAATCAGGGTAATTAATAACAGTAGCTAGCTTCTTCATCATGTGGATGATAAATGGTGGTGACAGCAATGAGCCTAGCATGAATGATTGCTTCAACCCAAAGCCCAACACTACTACACCCTGCACAAATACTACTGCAACTCCTCTCACATATGTAGGACTAAAACATCATCTCGGTATGCCTGCAACATATCTCTCTTAACAGTCTTTTAAGTAGTTACTTAGTTTTATTATATATGCGCGTTTACACAAGTATATATATATATAATTAATATTGGTGCATGCAGCCAAAACAAGTGAGCAAAGCAGGGGGAGAAAACTCAAAGAGCAAGCAGAAGCAACGAGAAGTTCGAGATGGAACCCAACAGCAGAGCAGCTACTAGCACTAGAAGAACAGTACAGTTGCGGAGTTCGAACTCCAACAACTAACCAAATCCAACAAATAACTTCAGAGCTTCGAAGGTTTGGGAAGATTGAAGGGAAGAATGTGTTTTACTGGTTTCAAAACCACAAGGCAAGAGAAAGACAAAAACGCCGTCAAGGACAACAAAAACACAAAAATTCTGATCATGAAAGCTCGAATAAGATGAAAGAATCAGGTATTAATTTAGCTTGCTTTCACAATATTTGTACCTTTTTTTTCCTGGCTAGTTAGGGTACACATACTATATATATGGTTGTGTGTAACTACCAGAAATGTCTAACATTCTTGTAATCTTGTTGGTCTTCTCATAAAAAAAAAAAAAAAAACAAACACAGGAAGAGAGAACAGGTTTTTTTGCCCATTCTTCTCTTCAAAAAAAAAAAAAAAAAAAAAAACACAGGAAGAGAGAACAGGTTTTTTTGCCCATTCTTCTCTTGGTTGACTGATGGCTGCCTTTATTGGTTTTGCAGTGATTCAATTTCTTCTCTTGCTTGACTCTTTGAGATGTCATTTTCTTTGTTCTGTTTCACTTGTTAATAGGTCCGAGGAGGACAGTTCTTGGAGTTGATCAAACAAACAACTTGGCACCTCATTCAAAATGCAGTACTGATCATGTAGAGGTTTGTACATCATCTTTGTCCTATATATGTTATTTGTTTCTAATGGTTAGAGTAAAGATACACCTAAAGATCAGCGAAATAACAATTATTTGATTACAAGTTCAGAGACAAGTTAATTAAAGAGCTTTTGCATGTCTGAACGGAAGATGCTCAAAAGCTGCATTCCTCGTTATCATGCAAGAACTCAGAAATTCTTGGACTGCATTATAAGAGTGCACTTGGATTCTTATTTATTACTTTTGTATTTGTTTTTTAAGGGACCTGTTTCAGTGAATGGAGCAGCACTAGCAGAAAGTGGAACACATGGCTGGTCAGAATTTGAGGAGAGGGAATTACAGCAGATGAAAAGTATCAGTCTTGATATGCATGCCATGTGGCAAACCATGGACTTGTCTTCCTCTACTCCCGTCCACCGCTTGACTAGCAACATGACTACAACAGCGTCAAAGTTCTCAAGCCTTGAAGAGCACAGTTCGCTGTTGAGACCCACCAAGACAGCAACTCATGCAAATCATGATGGTGAAATTAGGGAAGTTCAAACTCTTCAGCTGTTTCCACTTTGTAGTGATGATGCTAATGGTGCTAATGGTACCAATAATGACAGAAATGTACCCATCAGGACCATAAATACGACCTTCACCCCAAGCCAGTTTTTTGAGTTTCTTCCTCTGAAGAACTGAAAGGAAACAGCAGCTAACCCATGTGACTACAATGCAGCTCTTAATTGCTTTGCTGTATATGCAATGTGGTTGATATGTTCACGTTTGTTTTCTAGTAGGAGATTGGGTGCTGTTCTTTCTGTTCACATCATGCACAGAGCAACTGTAGGATAAGGACATCTTTTAGTATTGTTTGAGATGTTGCCTTATGCATTTGGATCTTGTTGGTTAAGCCAAGGTAGACCTACTCTTTCCTACAGAGGCGTTTTCCTGACAAGATTTCTATTATGCAGACATTGTAGTAGATGGACGTGAACGAGTTTGGCGTTGAATTGAACCTTGAATCCAGACTCGCTGTAGATGCATGCATGTTTTTTTTTTCTTTAATTACAAAGGAGAGGTAGTTTGAACACAAAATTTCTCAAGGAAAACAGAAATCTACAGTCAATGGAGCTACGTATGCATGTTGGTTCATAGGATTTATAGTAGTAAAAAGTAGAATATTTTATTCCTATCGAGGGGATAGATACAATGCTTTTCTTATACTATAATGAATAAAAACCGACGGCCTTTGAATACAAATTCGATATAATTAGGATAAGTGAGTCGGTCTGTGCGTGTATCACTAAGAATACAATTTTTATAGATTGCAATTAGTTACGCTAATTTTTTTTTTAGTATTTTTATTTAACTTGATTTAATATATTAACTCTAAAAACTTTTAATTTGATTTTTTTATTAGTTTAAATTTTAAATTAAATTACATGACAGTTGTTTTAATATAATATAATCGACTTAACTCATTAAAAAATTACTAGAATATTCAGTAAAAAATATAATTTAAATTTTAAATTATTTTTTTAGATAATATATTTTTTATTTAGATTACAGTATATTAGTTTTACATGAATTTCAACATCCAACCTGAATCTTGCTTTCATTTTTCTGCAAATCACACTAGCAACAGGGAAATTTTCAGGTTGGTCAAACTGGTCAGTACATGTCCTCCAGTTCTTAAAAAAGCCACGCTGTCTTTCTATAATTTACAGCTTCAACTAACAACAATCCATGAAACTCATGCACCCGAAGACCCCATTGATCATTTGCTGAGAGAGAGAAGAGAGGGGGGGTGCCCACAAGCTGTTGCTGAAAATTTTGCAGGGTTTTTGTCACTGAATGTCTGTGCAAGGTTGAAAATGCAGACAGAAAAAATAACAGTGCGAAAAAATAATAGTGAAGAGAATGGTACACAAAAACACAGCACTTAGAAAAAATAAAATTAATTAATTAATAATGGTAAATACCATAAAAGCGAGGGCAATCTAAAAATTTACCTGAAAAAAAAAAAAACCCACACGCATGATGCAGTACTGAAGAATCACCAAAACTTGGCATGGGTGAAATTTTTTTTCACGTCAGACAGATTTTTTAGATTGCCTTTGTTTTATGATATAGTCTATCATTACTTAATTATCTTTACCTTTTCAAATATTTGTTTCATTTTAAACATGATTTTAATCTTTATGTTTATTAAGTGCTGAAAAGAACTGTGTTTAATCTATTTCCATTCATTATTATGAATAATCCTTTGAGATTTGTAGCTGCGATTTTATATATATATCAGTATAATTGTTGGAAATATAAACAACCAGGTAATTCATCAAATCAATAACCATGACTATTTTGTTCATGAAAGGAGAAGGGATTTTAGTTCATTATAGGATCGAAGAAATCTATTCCATTTGATTCGATCTAGGGTTTGAAGGGGGGGAATTAACAAATACATTTACAACGAGACAAAATCTTACAAGGAAAAATAATGAAGCAATAATGGAGTCTACTGTGAAACGAGGGTATCTAAAAATCTTAAAAAAAACATAACATGGCAAGATATGGCGTGGGAGAGCATTGAAAGCCTTGGAGTTTTTGTTGCAAGTTACTTCTTGTTTTATAGCCACCAAGGGCCTGTGTTTATATTTTGTGCTCTTGGTTTAAAGGTATTGTTTAGTTAATATATGTTTTCTTTTAAATAAATAAAAAAAGTGTTTATTACATTATCTATTTTTTTTAGTTAAAATGATAAATTTCTCTTTCATAATTATTATTATAACTACTACTAATATTATTATTACACCTACCAGATATGTTAATATTTTATGTAACTTGATTTAAAAAAAATATATCATACCATTGATTTTATTGAAATTGCCAAAAAATATATATTATTCTTTTTAGTTTTTTAAAATTAAAAATTACTTTTATTAAAAAAATGGATACACGCATGTAAGTTTAACATGTCATACATTATTTAATATTTCTAAAAAATATTCATTAAAATATTTCCAGTATGTTAGAGTACTTGTTGATGATTTTATATCTTAAAAGCGCAATAATAAATTTCAATTAAACACTATTTAACTGCTTCAAATGTAAAGCATGATAATCAGTTATCAAATATTATTTTTACCCCGGCGAACCGCACCAGACAACAAACAACATAATGTAGCAGTACTAAACAAGCCCTAAGGATTTGGATCTCAATCTGAGTTTGGTCACCAAACCTGCAATATTTGGATCCCAATCTCTATATATATTTTTATCAACTATATTTGGATCCATCATGACTTCAAAAAACATGAGAGGGTCCAAATCCAAAAAGATACAAGAGAGCTTTTATAATGAAAAAGAAAAAAAGAAAAGCGAAAAATTTATCTAATAACTATTTAATAGCTTTAATTATTTGCTTAACAAGGGATATTTTGCTCCTAAACCAAAATTAAATCCTTTTCTAATTGAATCTCAACCCCTTTCTAATTGAGCCACTTTTCATGGAACAAGATTAAATTCTTTTCTAATTGAGTTTTAAATAAATCATCCAAACTGGAGCATTTACAATAAAATACCCTTTTGCCTTCGGAAAATGTTGATTGCTCAAACGAGGAATAACATGTTCATGACTTAATATTTTGGCTGACCAAAATTTGAAATTCCAAATCATTTTTCCTTCAAAATATTCAATCGCAAGACATTATCAGTCAAGTGGCCAGGCTCGGTGCCTAAGTAGTTGCCCACAAATGTCAGAGCGAAATATCAGCCATCGATAGCTTCCCTTAAAATCTTACCAAGAAACAGGATTGACTAGGCGAGCAATCAAGAGGCGAGGCAGAACATGCATGCAACTTCTAAGAAAAAGAACAGTCAAGCTACGAAAAAAATGATACCCTGAATTTCAACAAAGGTACACAATTCGTGTCCTTTTTCTTGGGTCTTGCACGTCTATCAAACTTCCAACTAATTTACAAGAAACGAGAAAACCAGGTTACAAAAGAATCTGACTAGCCATTGTACAGCTTGTTAGATACAGCAGCTGTAGCAGTACGTATGATAACAATGCTCGTTAATACCCGGGGTAAAATGTAGTCTGCGTCCTCTGGCATCATGTACAAAAAGTTGCAGCTTCCTCATTTCAAGTCCCGGGAAATAATCTGATGAATGCGAACTCCATTAAATCCTTGAAGCTCCCAAAATTGAAGTGTAAGCCCTCCCACCACGCAGGAAGGGGAAAAAAATGAAAGAATCGCGAGATGAAAAAATTGGAGTCAGCAGCAAGATGTGTCCACAAAAAATACCCGTAGAAGAAAAAACAATCAAAATCTATTTCGTCGCAGATCACGTGACCGAAGATGATCTTGAATCTTCTGTTCTGTTCACACGGCACATGCAATCTGGGCATGGATAGGAATATACAGAGTCATTTGGCCGTTTGAGTTCAAATCCTTTAGAATCGCTGTGAGACCGCATATTCATCATGTGTCGCTTGAAGCTCTTCCATCTGCGAAAAAAGAGGAAACACAAAAACGCCGGTGCTTGTTTCAGTACAATAATGTGCATTCTAAACAACCAAACATGTTCAGGCTCCAGTCCCCTTCAATTCTTTATCCAATCATTTTAGTCCAGCACCACATGAAATGCAGGGTCAAAATCAAACTCAAGTGTGCTATCTGTGAAGCAATATAAATCCATACCCGATTTTCGGATTATCAAAGAGCAATGCTAACTTTCGCTTGTCTGGCCTGATTGTCTTCGAGTGTCCACCATACAAGAATCTTCTATGACCCATCAAAAAATGGGGGAAGTTGCCACCCTGAGTTGTCACAAATACCTCACTGTGAAGACACACAGTGTAGTCTATTGCAGCCATCCTGGATGAATAATTCTGGAAGCAGCAACTCAAGTCAAATCAATGACACTAAATCAGGCCTGAAGATGGATGAGAGAAAACCACAAACCATACAGACCTTGAATGGATCAAGTTCCTCATCCAATGCCAGCATGTCTTTAGTTAACAGATTTGGAAACATTTCCAACAGCGGGGCCATGTATTTTTCAGAATTGTAAATCTTTCCAGAGGCCAAATAGATATGCGTGTTTTTATCAAAACCCATGCCCCTAAGCATCAATCCAACCTGAGAAGGTTTAAAAAATATCATGCTATGAGAAAACTAAACCAAAATCCACAAACCTACAGGCAAATGTATAAGAAGCTTTACAGTTACATAAGCAGAAGGAAGTTTTATTTACACCTCATTATGTTGAGAAGTCTCAATCTAAGGTAAGAAAGCGATCAGAGTGTTTCATATGCATTCACCAGTGCTTCATGGTTGGGTCAATACCTGCTTTCCTTTGGACTTTGAATTTAAACTAGTAGTGACAAAATACAGATTTTGCATGATGGCTCAAGAGAATGTGAGGTTATGGGACCACGGTTTCTTAGGCCATACACAGTGCAGTTACTTGAAGACATGTTGAAAGCTGTTTGTGCTTCCTAGGTTGTAAAACTGAACCCATTTCTCAGTCATCTCAGAGCTAGAAGAACATATGCACGTACTTATCCACCAATTTTTAAGATAGTAACCAAAAAACAGCTGAAATATTTCCAGTTCACTTTAGAATGTCTCAACAAGGATTCCCAACACAGGAAAAACATTGGCAACGATTAGCATTCACAATAGTTTCTACCAAAGTGTCAAGCATGAGTATTTTACACCTCTTTGACCATGAAGATCATGTTAAGAGAACACATGGAATTGAATTTTGAGTATTGCTTTTCAATGGAATCGAGTAACAGAATATGAATGTATATTACCTCTAAAGGAGTAAGGGGACACTTCCCATTGAGCCTAATTGCCCCAGGACGTATAGTTCGACCAGGCTTTGTAAATTTTCCTTTCCAACCCCTTTCCCTCGCTTCCTTCATGTCTTTAGCTTCT